TTTTTTTTTTCAAGGCAAAAAAAACATTAAAAAACAAAACTTAATTTCAGCCCATCATGACATCATTTTTGACCAGAACTGCAACAATAAAAAATAAGTGAAACTCCGCCCACATCTGTTAAAACATTCATTTCTTGGTTCAACCAGTTTTTGTTTTTGTTTTTTTTTTTCCCCACCAGGACTTAAACCTTTGTCTCTCGTCCAAAGTTTGATGAAAACGTGGGCGTCTCTAACTGCTGCTCTGGGTTCTGGGTTCAATCCCTTTATTTACCCTCTGCTCTTTGACTCCTAATCACTTTGACATTCAAACACAACAAACACCGCGGTCACACAGTGACTGAAGTTGTTTTATCAGAACTTTAATTGGGCTTTTTTTTTTTTTTTTTTTCCCTCCCTCCACACAACACCTCATAAATAAATTTGCTCAGATTGGACTTGACATAAGGTTTTAAGTGGCTGGTAAACACTGAGTGACTAATGGATGAAACACACGGCCACGCTGGAATAATTGCTGACATTGTTTTTCAAAGTCAATAATCTGAAACTAAACTAACAACTCGCCCGTGTGCAGCTCTCTCCCTCCCTCCCCCCCCCCCCCCCCCCCCCCCCCCCCCCCCCTTCANNNTCCGCCGTCTCCCTCTGTTTCAGGCAGTGGAACCATATTTTGCTCTAATTGTCGACTTTATTGCGCGTTTCGTCGTCTTATTAACGTCGCCGTGAACGGCGGTCTCGGCCCGAGTCAGTTTCTTTTCCACTCGGGTTGGCATACTGTTAATAAAACATCTCCGCACGCTGCCTTTCTGATGGAGGGAGACGGCAGCGTGCGGCTTTTTAACACGTGTTCACTTTGAAAACAATAGCTTTTATTTTAGCACTTTGCATAATTTGAATATATTTTATGGCTGGAGGTTTTGTTGAAAGTCAAATTAATTGCCTCCTCTTTGTCTTTGGCAGAAGTGTGTGTGTGTGTGTCTGGTGTAGATATACTCGCGGGGACGCCTTTCTGGGGAACATACTTTTGTGGGGACACGTTGTCCTAGAGGGGGCGCTCTACAGGCCCGCACTGAGTGAGAGGGATTTAAGAGATTGAACATCGAGAGTTTAGGGTCAGGATTAGGATTAGGATTAGGGTCAGATTAGAGGAACTATATACTGTACATCAGACATGATTTTGTTTGGGTTTTTTTATTTTTCAGTGAACCCTAAATTAAATTTCAGTAACATTGGAAAATCATCCTGTTTTTAGGCTGAAAACACCACAGTAGATTGATGAACAGGTCGGGAGGATGAGTCACTTTGTGGTTAAATTTCTTCTGGTTAATTTTTAATTTTTAATTTTGTATTTTATTGTGTTGATTCCGAGGTTGATGCGTTTTCATTGGCTCCAAACGTGGTGCATTATGGGTTAAAAGAGGCTTTAAAGGTCACAGCTGTAAGAATCCAGATGAACTGAGTCAGAGCGCAGCCTTGTGGTCACGTGGCCTAATGGATAAGGCGTCTGACTTCGGATCAGAAGATTGAGGGTTCGAGTCCCTTCGTGATCAAGTCATTTTCAGATGTCAGTGACATCATGATGTCACCAAGAGCTGTCATTGGTCCACAACAAACCTGTTCAAGGGATGTTGTTAGTTACAGTTTTGGATGTGTTAAAAAAAAAATATATATATATCATTCTATGACACTTGTTCATTGTGTGTGTTTGGACAGAATAACGCAGAGGAGCTGAGAGCAGAGCGTCTGCGCCGGGCGACGGAGCGTCTGCGCAGCCCCGTGGTTTTCAACGCGGACTCGGCGGTTCGTAAGACGCAGCTGAAGTCCTTCAGCCAGTACGTGGAGAACACGCCAGGTGAGTGACAGTTGGCAAACAACGCCGGGCGCATCGTGTTAACAATGAACACAGCGTAGAATTTACCCAGGGAGGTTCGTCTGTTTGCTCACTGTGTTTTAATGAAAACTATAATTAGAAAGATGAAAGAAAACAGAATGTACGCTGGAGTTTTATTGGCCGAGGAACAAACAGCCCCAGAGGTGTTGACAAATACAGGGTTTGATCCTGACTGCAGGAACAGGGAGAAAGTACCGGAAAGTACCGGGAATACTCATCAGTCTATAGGTGGCGCTGATATTTAACCTGAAACGTAGCAATCCACATCATGTGACGTCAGACGACGTGAGAGTGAAACCGATCGTGTCGTCGTTTTTGATCCACGAACTGTAAATGTCATCACGTCTGTGTCCGTCTGCTCGTCCCCCTAGAGGTGAAGAGACAGAAGTCTGTCCCCGAGGACCTGAAGAGGTCGGAGGAGGACGGGGGCTCTCTGACGGAGCTGGACCTTCACAGACCCTTCGAAGAGGAGGTAGGTTCGATTCCCTCTGTTGGATTCTCTGTCAGATTCACTGAAATGTCGTGTCCGTTTTAACAGAACGACATCACGGTGGTTGGAACGATTGAGATTAATGGGATAAATCACTAGGAATATATTTAGCCGGGAGAGAGAAAATATATTTTTAAGATCGGACAGTTTTCTGTTTTTTTTAATTGATCTGAAACTCACTGGATTCTCGGAGTCTCCCAGGTTTTTTTTTCTCGTGCTCTGACTTGACGCCGTCTCCTGGTAGAGACTGTGATCAGGTTTAAGAATAATGAGTGGAGTTAAGTGGAGGTCAGAGGTGAGGTCGAAGGTGTGCGTCTCTTAATTGCTCTCTTGGCTTTTATTTTATTTCTTCATCGTCAGCCATATCTTCAAAGATAAATCTCTCAGCCAACTCTTCAGCCTCTTTGCTTAAATTTCCATCCTCCTCTTCACCTTGTCCACCTCTCATCGCTCTCTCCCTCGTTCTCTCTCTCGTTCTCTCCCTCGTTCTCTCCCTCGTTCTCTCCCTCGTTCTCTCCCTCGTTCTCTCTCTCCTCTCGACACAGACATCTCAGTATTGATCTCTCACACGCTGCCATTTTAATTATAACAATGGTAGATATCCCCCGCCGCGCCGGTGTGTGGGTGTGGGGGTGTTAAAACTTTTCATAACGTGTCTTAAAACTGTCAGTTCTCCATATATATATATGTGTGTGTGTGTGTGTGTTCAGTGAAGACCGTGAGCTCAGCTCTTCCTGTTCGTCCCGTTTGTGGCTTCATCTCTGGCGCTCGTCCCTGACCACCACCTCTCTCTCTCTCTCTCTCTCTCTCTCTCACACACCCCTTCTTCGTCTCTCCTCCTCTCCCAGAGAGCGGGGCCCCAGGGTTAATGGGTGTTGAACCTTTCCATTATCCCGATCAGCCAAGAATTACCTGCTGAATGATGTTTGCATTAATATAATATATATGGTAATTTCCCTCCTCTTAATTACGGCCGGGCTGAGCGCGGCAACGGGAGTGGGCTGATCATGTGTAAAATTGATTTGCCAAGGAAAAATATGGTGATAGAGCGGAGAGAGAGAGAGAGAGAGAGAGAGAGAGAGAGAGAGCGAGCACAAAACAGCAGGAGGAGGAGCGCGGGGAATCAACACACACACACACACACACACACACACCAGAACGTGTACAGAGGGAAAAGTGCTGGCCTGGTTGGAATAAAAAAAAAAAAAACTTTCTCTCCTCCTTCGTCCCATTAAGAGAAAATGAAGAGCATCAGCAGTAAAGCTCGGATGTTTTCCTCCTCTGAAGTGAATTTGAATTAAAAAAAAAATAAAAAAATTTTCCTCACTTTGAGGAGTTTCTACGTAGAATAGCCTGGACACAAGAGTATTTTCCTCACTTTGAGGAGTTTCTACGGAGAATAGACTGGACACAAGGAGGTGCTGAGTGAGTGTGTGTAAATTCATGCTAGTTTTATTTAAGTAAAATATTTACAATTACACTGAACCACTGAACGTCCACACAGTCGATCGTGGTCCCGTCCGTTCTTTTCTGGTAAATCTCCTCCAGATTTAATCTTAATTTGAATCTTTGACCCTGGTTTTCATCTCAATCCACAGATTTAAAAAAAAAAAAAAGATTCTGTCATTGTAACTTAAAAGCTGTTTTTTTAAAGGATAAAATCTTCTCATCGACTTGTTCAGGATCCCTTGCTCCACAGCGCCCCCTGTGTCCCGTCTGTTCTGAACATAAGCAGATGGTTAGGAGAGTTTTGTTGAGAAAAACTGTTAATTTTCTTCATTTTTGATTTGGTCGCGAGGGGAAAACGGACAGATGACTTGGGGGTCTAGGGTTCGATTCCCTGCCTTTTCATTCAGAATGAATGGAATTCTGTGAAACTGTGACTTGTAGAGTCAGACTAAAGTTCAGACAAAAACCAGAGTCATAAATGTAACTGTTTCCTCCTCCTGTTTTTCACCTTTGTTTCTTTTTCCTCCATCTCTTTGATTCCGTCCCTGGTTTTCCTCCTCTCTCCTTCTCTTTCATCTTCCTCTCATCCTTTTTTCTCCACCTCTGTTTTTAATGTTATATTGCACTCATAATCACTCTCTCTCTCTCTCTCTCTCTCTCTCTCCGTCTCCGTGGTTGACAGAAGGCGTTCAAAGACACCAGTCAGTACGTGGTCGGGGAGCTGTCGGCGCTGGAGAGCGAGCAGCGCCACATCGACGCCCGAGCAGCGCGCGTGGAGAAGAGGCTGCGCTATCTCATGGACACAGGTAGTCCAGGCCCAATTACACTGGAAAAACAGTTTTGGCAAATTGAGCGTACACACACACACACACACACACACACACACACACACACACGTGTGTGAGAATATCT